GGGGGGGGGGGGGGGACCTACATGGTCACACGTTGTACTTACTTTAAGCTGAAGCAAACACGAAGTGGTGGTATTTCCTGGGTCTGTCGCTGGGGCCTTGGAGAGAACATGACATGAGAAATCCAGTAAACGAGGTGGACCAACTGGAACCTGGCAGTCCATTTTATACTAAAATAATAAAAATATATTTGTCAATAGACGGTGGGCTGTGGAAGCAGCCTCCGTTTCCTTCTCTTTTCCAGCGAATCAGAATAAGAGTTAAATGAAGGATAGAAAGAGTGGGATAGCGAAGTGGAAGAGTGCAATAAAATTATGATGAAGTCAAATTTTTATTTTGAGAAATAAATACACGTAGCTTGTGAAACCAAAGTGTATGTGTGTTTGAGACAGGACAGTTTATATCGATGAGTAACGGGAAGATATGAGACAGATGGAAAAACTTGGTTGTCGGACGACACACTTAAAGTGGAAACGTCTTAGGAGGGCAAAGAAGAACTTCCCAAAAGAAGTGTAAGACATTTAAAATCATATGTAGAATACACATATATAAGGTATCACAACAAAGAACATCATACAGACTTTATGAGGATAACTTACAACGAAGAATCCAAAGACAGCTGTGAACAGTGTAAAATTTTTCATAAAAGATAAAGTGCTTTGGCAATGCCTTCCATACTGTGAAAATAGCAGTGTTACTAACAAGTTATTAATCATCCTGAGCTTTAAGTAGATGTCTCTATAAGCATTGGTAGATATGTCAGTGTTGTGTGACTTCCAGGGTTTGATTCTTGAAAGTGACGCATCTTCAGGTGATCTTCAAAATCTAGCATGAGCAAAAAAAACACCTTTGACCCCATCCATGTCTGCCCAAAAGTGACGCATCTTCAGGTGATCTTCACAATTTAGCATGAGCAAAAAAACACTTTTGACCCCATCCATGTCTGCCCGTCACGATTTTCACAGCAGTGTGACTGGAGGTCCAATTCTTGGAACCCAGTGCTGTACAATGGAACCTCAGATCACAGTGCTAAGACGACAATAACGTGTGAGGAACACCTTTGCAATGTTGTCGTACTGCAGAAGTGGACAATGATGGCTGTTTTCCAAGGAGTAAACCAATTGGAATGTGATACTGACTATTTATCTCCTCCATATAATGTGAAGGTTATGAATGCTTAGACCTATACCAAATGTCTTCAGTCTGTAATCAGCATGGAGACAACACAGTACAAAACAAAAAAATGCCACAAAATGTTTAATTTACCGTACATATTTACATTATTTAAAGAAGAACAAAATATAATGCAATGACACCGATTAAACTGTCCAGTCCCGACCAAAGCATCTACGACACCACTCTTAAACTAGAATATATGTTCCTTCAAAACTATAAAGTTGAAGCCTTGCTTTCACATATGCAAACACATAACCTTACTTACGCACACCTGAAAAAAAAATCGCACAAATTTACCTGGAACTAAGCCTAACATCTACATTTGTCGCATAGATGATCTATGGGTTCCAATGTGGCAAGAGAAACTGAGCTTCGTGAATGGTTAGAAAACAGAATAAATGCATTAGCGACATCGTAACGCAGCGGAGTGTAGTTACTTAAACGAAGTACACGCAAATCATTGAAGATGGCGAAAGTAGTCGATAGTGGCCAAGACGCTCGCCCAAATGAACCAATGACACTGTAATTACTTGTCTTTGATTTTGAATGACGAGATATCGCAAATAGTTGATGACAGACTATAATAATGGAAGATAATTTAAAAGTTGTCACTATGTGCTCTGCTGAAAGGCAAGTTTTGATTTAATAACTTGTGAAACTCGAGTGTTTGCTCAACTTTCAGGCACAAGGTATTATTCGTGTATTACTTATTACAGTTTACAACGGGGCTTAACCGGAAGTGCCTTGCCATTGAAGTAAATCTGCTCAAAGGCAAACAGAATATAAGTTCTTCAGCTTCCAAGCAGTCCAGCATGGTATGTCATTTTTGTATTATTTGTATTTTTTTATGATCGATTGGTTTAATTATTAGTGTTACATAATCGTCGTTGCTTGTCTTGTTATCATAAGTCAATTCGTATTTCAATTCTATTTCTCTGGCACTAAACAACCTACAACAGGAGGGATTATATTAAATATATAGTGCTGTAAAGACTGGACGATATCTTTTGGCACTAAACAACCTACAACAGGAGGGTTTATATTAAATATATAGCGCTGCAAAGACTGGACGATATCTTCCATGTAGACCTAATAGAACTTAAAAATTATGGGACTACTAAACAAGCCCAGTGCAGTTAGGTAAGTGAAATCACTCATTACTTGCGAACTATTGGGCAAGTGAATTCACTAAGTGAGTAGTGAGTGAAATTTCCTAATGTAATTGGGCTTTAGTATAATTTTTAGCATTGTAAAAACGATTTTCAACAACTTTTTTCTTAGTTTGTTGTAGTTATCCACATCCTAAGATTACTCAAAGATTATTTAAGCATAATATTTATATTTTGGTTTGAGGAATTAATATTTTTAATTTTTTTAAATATTTATTAATAAATTATTTTTTAATTTATTTTTACATGTAAGTTGTGAACAAACGTTATGTGGTTGAATACAAACATATATTTTTCATTCAGGTTTATTTGAAAAAGTTATGTGCGGAAGATTAAGCTCTAAGAATATCCTGCAGAAGAACAACTTGGATTCAGAAAAGGCCCTCAAGTGATAAAGCCTTGTACAAATTCCTATGTCCCCTCTATGATAATATTTCGATGGAAACTAAATTTTTATTTAATTAAAGGCAAATTTGGGCAACTGCTTACATCATATTTTAATTGTAGAAAACAAATATTAGAAATTTAATCTCATTATTAAAGTTATAGAACGTACTGAGCCTACGCACTTCATCGTTGATGATGGTGTTATTTATCATCGTCATAGCAACTGCTTTTAAAAAAATCTCATTAATGTTATAAAATTACACAACATTTCGAGAACTGGATCTATCCTTCTGCCCCAGTCCGCATCCCACGACGTATGTTTTTGGCTGTCTGAAGGACGTTCGGCTGTAAGGATACGATTTTAACCAAGTGATATAGGTTAGGTTAGGTTTGCGTGAGTCAACT